TTTGGTTATTTCAGTATGTCGGAGGAGGAGCCAGACAAAGTTGAAAAGACTGCCCTTGCATTCGATGACTTGGAGGACATTCCAAGCATCGACTGTGAAGACAGCCTTTCGGATTCACTTCCCACAGTGAAAGAGGTTGTCCCTTCGAAGTCTACAAAGGGCAGTACTGGAGAAAATGTAGAGAAGAAGGAGGAAATGGCAAGTGAAAGGAGAGATAAAGAAGAGAAAGAAGAGGCAGGGCAAGAAGCATGCAGTGGAGGAAGTTCTAGAGATAAGCTAGATGAGGGTACATTGCAGCCTGAAGATAAGGAAAGTGGGGTCACAGATAAGGCCAGGGTAGAGGATGGAGCAACTGATAATCTGGAATCACCTGCTGTAACTCACACGTTCTCGTTCCCCCTACGGAAGGAATCAGGAGGGCCCCCTGACGCCACTCCAACCCCACCGGAGCCAATGGACAGAGAGGAGGGTAAGGCATCCCTGGCCTCTTCATCACCTAAGCTCTCTGCCAAAACCAAGACCAAATCAAAGAAGTCCAAGGCATCTCGTCTTGCCAAGGAAGAGAGGGACTCGGACTCCTCAGTGTCCTCCCGGAAGAAGGGCCGAACAACCACGAAGACACAAGTCAAGTGCAAGTTTGCACCTGGAGGACTAGAGTACATCGAGGACTGTCTGCAGGGACGCTTCTTCTCAGGTTGGGTGGAGGAACGGCGCTGGGTGGAACACCTGGGGGGTTACCGGGATGAGGTGCAGGTGGATGAGTGGGAGGTGGAGCTTAATGCGCAGCTCAATGCCATTGTCAGAAGCATCCCAGGCGTGCTAGAAGGCACTAAGTGGATCAACATCACACGTAAGGAGTTTATATGTGTACAAATTTTTAATTATTTGATCAATGAGCTTATATCTCATGATGATGTATGGTGGTTTTGTTGAGTTATTAATAATGTGTCACGATTTTGATATGTTTCCTATGCTATCCTTTTGTTTTTATCAGCTTCTTGTTTGATATAATTTTGTTTTTGAGCATCATCATCATCAATAATCATCATCTTTTCTTTCTTCACCTTTCTCTTGTTTTCCTTTCTCTATTCTTTCCCTTTTTCATGATTTGTTCACATCTGTCCATATTCTTTTTATTTGTGTTTAATGTTCTTTTGTGATTCACAGCTCCATCAGCCACAGAGCTATGCTACAGCCTTTGGGTACTGCTTGGGGAAGCACCAAGTCCAGGCCACTATTGGTTCACTGTGACAGGGGTGGCTGTCCAACCCCAGTTTGGCCTGCGCATTTCCCTAAGGATTTTGAGGTTGGTATAGGGGGTGGAGTTTGTTTTATAGGAATGAGGTCTGGCTCTCTCTCTCCCTCTCCCTCTTTTGCGTTCTCTCTCTCTCTCTCTCTCTCTCTCTCTCTCTCTCTCTCTCTCTCTCTCTCTCTCTCTCTCTCTCTCTCTCTCTCTCTCTCTCTCTCTCTCTCTCTTTCAGTCTTGCATTCTCTCTCTCTCTCTCTCTCTCTCTCTCTCTCTCTCTCTCTCTCTCTCTCTCTCTCTCTCTCTCTCTCTCTCTCTCTCTCTTTCAGTCTTGCATTCTCTCTCTCTCTCTCTCTCTCTCTCTCTCTCTCTCTCTCTCTCTCTCTCTCTCTCTCTCTCTCTCTCTCTCTCTCTCTCTCTCTCTCTTTCAGTCTTGCATTCTCTCTCTCTATCTCTCTCTCTCTCTCTTTTTCTGTCTTGCATTCTCTCTCTCTCTTTCTGTCTTGCATTCTCTCTCTCTCTCTCTCTTTCTGTCTTGCAATCTCTCTCTCTCTTTCTCTTTCTGTCTTGCATTCTCTCTCTCTGTCTGTCTGTCTGTCTCTCTCTCTCTCTCTCTCTCTCTCTCTCTCTCTCTCTCTCTCTCTCTCTCTCTCTCTCTCTCTCTCTCTCTCTCTCTCTCTCTCTCTCGCATTCTCTCTCTCTCTCTCTCTCGCATTCTCTCTCTCTCTCTCTCGCATTCTCTCTCTCTCTCTCTTGCATTCTCTCTCTTTCTCTCTTGCATTCTCTCTCTCTCTCTTGCATTCTCTCTCTCTCTCTCTTGCATTCTCTCTCTCTCTCTTGCATTCTCTCTCTCTCTCTCTTGCATTCTCTCTCTCTCTCTCTTGCATTCTCTCTCTCTCTCTCTTGCATTCTCTCTCTCTCTCTCTCTTGCATTCTCTCTCTCTCTCTCTCTTGCATTCTCTCTCTCTCTCTCTTGCATTCTCTCCCTCTCTCTCTTGCATTCTCTCTCTCTCTCTCTTGCATTCTCTCTCTCTCTCTCTTGCATTCTCTCTCTCTCTCTCTTGCATTCTCTTTCTCTCTCTCTCTTGCATTCTCTCTCTCTCTCTCTCTTGCATTCTCTCTCTCTCTCTCTCTTGCATTCTCTCTCTCTCTCTCTCTTGCATTCTCTCCCTCTCTCTCTTGCATTCTCTCCTCTCTCTCTCTTGCATTCTCTCTCTCTCTCTCTCTTGCATTCTCTCTCTCTCTCTCTTGCATTCTCTCTCTCTCTCTCTTGCATTCTCTTTCTCTCTCTCTCTTGCATTCTCTCTCTCTCTCTCTCTTGCATTCTCTCTCTCTCTCTCTCTCTTGCATTCTCTCTCTCTCTCTCTCTTGCATTCTCTCTCTCTCTCTCTCTTGCATTCTCTCTCTCTCTCTCTCTCTTGCATTCTCTCTCTCTCTCTCTCTTGCATTCTCTCTCTCTCTCTCTCTCTTGCATTCTCTCTCTCTCTCTCTCTCTTGCATTCTCTCTCTCTCTCTCTCTTGCATTCTCTCTCTCTCTCTCTCTCTCATTCTCTCTCTCTCTCTCTCTTGCATTCTCTCTCTCTCTCTCTTGCATTCTCTGTCTCTCTCTGTCTCTCTCTCTCTCTCTCTCTCTCTCTCTCTCTCTCTCTCTCTCTCTCTCTCTCTCTCTCTCTCTCTCTCTCTCTCTCTCTCTCTTACTAATTTTCTTGACAAATAAGAAAAATCTGAAATGCAGTCACTGTCAGCATCATCTGAAGCTAAGAGGAACACCATGTAGACTAGTTCTAATTAATTACTTTCCATTACAGGAGCATCCACCCCCAGGACTATGAGACAGCCGAGGTGCGGCGGAAGAGGCGCAAACAACTGGTGGCTGCAACCGAGCCAGGCCAGGAGCTGGAGACGATTGGCCAGCACATCATGGACTGGTGGGAGCAGGCCCAGCAGATTAGTTGGGCCGGAGGATGGGCGGCCGTGCGCTCCACCCTGACGCTGAGCAATATCAGAGAGGCTGTGAGGTAAGGGGGAAGAGGTGGAGAGGGAGAAGGATGTGGAGTTGATTCATTAAGGGTTTGGTTTTTGAATTTGTTTTTTTGGAGTAAAGTGGAATGTTTTTTGTACAATTCCAGGCAAAAGTCCCTTCCCCCCTATTATGTCAGACTGAAGATATGGTGTTGCATGCTATCATTTACAAAGTGTATAATTTAGGGCGTAGTCTCTATTTATATTTTTTAATTAAGAATTTTCCTTTCAAGAGAAAAGTCAGGTAGATAGCCCTTGAGGGGGAGTGTTTTGTGCCATACACTATCACTGAGGCTTTATGGCAAATGTACATGTCTAGTGTTAGTATTTAGGAAAATAAGTATAGAGAAAGAAAAGACATATCAAGATTGATTATAAAATTGACATCATTTAAGGGCTAGCATTATATGTATATTTTAAAAATCTCTCCTCTCACTTACACAGAATGAATTAATGGCACCTTAGCTGGAATATCATAAATATGGCTTTGCTATCTTTCATTTATTTACACATTATCGTGTTTTCATTTTTATTATCAAGTGTAAATACTAAAAACACTCGAAAATATTATCCACAATTTTATCTTTGATTTTGTGTGAAGGACCTCATAGAGCATGATTTTTATCTTCTTTCTTTCTTTCGTTCTTTCTTGCAGGCCTTATCAGTCCTTAGTCTAAACTACAGTTTCTCCCAACCAGGTTCACCGTGGTGCTAGTGATCACGCTAGTGGTGGGTCTGGTGGCATTCCTGAGGGAGTCCCACCATGTTGCCCTCCGTTTCATCCGAGAAGCTGGCATATTCTTCCGCAACATCACACCCTTCCTGCAGTCGATAATGGGCTTTGTGGAGAAGCTCATTGGTGGCTTCTACCTCCTGATAGCCATGGTCTACAGGGACTTCCGTCAGCCAAGTGGTCCTCCTGGTCCTCCACCTCCCTCCTCCTTTCTCTCCCCGCACAGGCAGCCTCCCTTAGCTCTAGGTCAGGCTCCCCCACCTTCCCCCTACACCCCTACTGGACCTAGGGTTGTTAAGTATGTTGGCCCAGAGCAGTGGGTGTATAAAAGCCAAAATAAGAGCTCGTCACCTCCAAGTTGAGGAATGTGTCTTCTTGTTTGGTAAATCAAATATTACATTTTTACATTTTTATTCTCTAGGGATCTTTTTTATATTAAGTTATTGGAAATATCATACTTGCTTTTAATTACCTGTCTATGGCCAATATTTATATTATTTATTTTTCTTGCAAGTTTTTCTTTATTTTACCTATTTTAGTGTCATATTTCAGGATCTGCTTTGCATTTACTCCTCAGTTTATCCAACTTGAATTTGACGTTTGGTTCTCAATGGTATAGTGATTTTTACACCTCAGATGGCATTTCCCATTCCCTCAACATATGATCCTTTCACAAGTGTGTCTTTCACTCCCTTCCATTCATGAATTCACTCCATTCATAATCTTGTAACTAGTCACTGCAAGCATTTCTCTTCTACTCTCAAGATGCAGTAGATTCCTGAAGCAGGTAATGACAACTGTTCACAACATGAATATATATATGCATATATATATTTTTAATACTCACTGAATGTTCAATATCAATACTTCTAGCAGTGGTTCAGACATCACATAGTTGAGCAGAGTATGAGAATGTGCCTTTTTCTTTATGTGATGTCATATGGTGCCTAATCAGAGTTATGTGTTCTGCGTAAAGAACACAGGTGTTATATCTGATGAAAACCTAGGAAGAGAAACATTTGATATTATGTTTAATTAGTCTTTATTTATTTGGAATGTTGAAACTGGTTTGCTGTTTTCCTCTCCCTCTCTTTGTTTCACTACAAAATCTTAGATATGGTTTGTTGTAGTGTGAGTAATTCCTTGGAAATTGTGTGTAGAAATCTTTACTGTCCAGAACAGTTGGCTTTGCTAAAAGGATTTTTCTATAATCTAGGAAAAAATCCCCAAATTTTGCCTACACATATCCAGTCACTGTTTTTGAGAAATACATTTTGTATTAATGAAAAACAGGATATACTACTCACAAGGATGTTTACCATATTCAAAATATTTAGGTTACACATGTTCCCCAGTGTTTATAACATTTTTACCTTCATGACTTCCCAATCTTTACATCTGCAAAAAGCAGGAAGTAGAAAGTGGTGGTGTGTGTGTTCTAAAAGATTAGTCAATCTGTAGAGTCTGATCCTAAGTGGTACAAATATATGGGTGTTAACTAGTGTAGAGGAGATAGAGCCAGTGTATAGAAATTTATGCTAATAATTTTGTTTATTTATACCAAAGACTTTTTACGAATCTCAAGTGCAAAGCATCTACAAGCAGTGTTTTTCTAATTGGTGCAGAGAAGGAAAGCATTTGCAAACAAAATTAAGCAGTAGATCATCTGCTTAGAGAATTCCTTTCTGTTTGGGAACTAAAGTAAAGGTACTCAAGATTATCTTAGTATTTTAAATTAAAATTAGACTAGAATAACAAAGGATAATAAGAATAGAGTTGAGTCAGTGCATTAACAGCAGGTCACAGTTATAATGAGAGTATAGTGTTTATTACAAGGCTCAATTTAGAATACAGAGTTACTTCACTTCAGGAACTGCATTTAGAAATACAGAGTCACTTCAGGAAAAAGCAATAGCTTTGTCATATTTTTTTCTTCCTTTTTTTTTTTTAGTTATATTGTGATCAGAAGATAAAAGTTGTGTGAATGTGTGTATCTATGCAAACAATAGAGGTACAACCCCACCAACAAGTCTCTGCCTCTAATATATTTGAAAATGATCATGCATTTAGATGTGGAGCAAAAAGCTACATCCCTTGAAAACAGAGTAGATGCACTACAATTTGTCTCTACCTTTTACACTGGTCTTAAAAGTATACAGGTTCTCAGTCAATAACAGCACTCAGTAAATCACTCCCTTACAACCTGACTGCTACATTTATAAAACATATTGGGAACTGGATTGTCCTGCAGTGCCAAACCACCTTTAGTATGGACAACTGCTCTTGTCCCTCCATGTTTACTATACCTTTCAGGTTGGTGAATATTTCAAGGATGATACTGAAACAAAGTCTATTAAGTAAAGCTAAATGGCAAGGAACAGCTGATCTCCTTACAGATGACTATAATGAGGTTTGGTATAATATAGCATCACTTTTAAAAATGGTAATGGTTTTAATGCAATGGAGTTTACAAATTACCTAAAAAGGATGTGACATTAGATTAGATTTTTAACCCATTCGCGCCGGGTGTCATGTATACATGACGTGCCCACTGTGAGCTTACTTGTTTAATTGTTTTCACATATAGATGACTACACTTGTACTTGTACTGCCTGTCTCGCCTGTTTACCCTTTTCTTTAATTTACGAAAATATTTTACATGATCTTATTTTGCTGTTACTAATGTTTATAACAAAATAATAAATAACCATCGATATTCATAGCACTAGTAAAAATATTTTTTCCCGCCATTTCAAGTAAAGGTGAAATCAGGTAAGGCATAGCCATCTAGTGTAGAGGGGTATTTCACAAAAAAAAAAAAAAAAAAAATGAATACAGCATTTTCCCCATTTTTTTTTCATTTTTACCCGGCGCAAATGGGTTAAAAATATAAGATCAGATTTTCTGATAATTTGCTGGGAAAGAGAAATAGAATATCTTTATCATTGCCTATATCTAATATTATGAAGTAATAATTGGACCTACAACAGATCATATTGATGACATGACAAAAAAATACAGAACTGTGTGGTTAAGCCCTGTCATGAAGAAACAATATCAGCAGCTGTTATACCCTTTGTAACAGTCAGTCATGTAATTATTTAAGCAGCATTGCCAAATATCTACTGTCATTGATTCACACACAATCCAAATGCCAGATATGAGTGAGTGCACAGACTGGCAACTGCCACTGGGAACAGCAATCGCAAAACACACCCCAGACATAACAGAATTGATCATGTATTTTTCCTATTGTATTAATAAGAAAAGAGGCAGAGACTGTTTGTTATAAGTGTACATGTAATAGCTTTTACTTTGGGCACTTGTTATACCTGTTATAGAAAGAAATAAAAAGCAGTTGACAGCAAGGGTAAGATTTTTTTCTAGACAAATGCAGATGGCTGTGGAATTGTTCAGCAATATTGTATTTTGTGTAAACTTTTTACTTTCTCAGTGTTGAGATATGTAAATCATGAAGCCAATAAATACTCAGAAAATA